TTGAACATAAACTCGGATTTTCACAACTATGAAACTAGAGGAGCACAAAACCTCAGAACAGTCAGAGTTAGGACCAAAAAGGCTTCTGGATCAACAATACAACAGGGTGTTAAAATCTTCAATGATCTACCAAACTCCATTAAATCCTTGGATAAATATGAAAAATTTATAAAAACATTGAAAAAGTACATCAAGGACAATTTATAATTATTATACTGTTATTCCGAGTGTTATTCAATTTATAAATCTATTTTTTCTTTATTGTAATGATTACTCTACGTTAACAGCTATTACAAGTTGATTTGTAGTTTCAATTTAATAAATAAATAAATAAATAAATATTAGCTTAAGCAATGATTAGAAAATTTAGTACCTTTGAAATTTGAAATCCATAACCACAAAATTAATTTTTTCATCAGTTTGTTTCTCTGTTTACTCAGATGAAATTGGACCAGTTCACAGGTTAAACTTTAAACATTTAATTTGTGTAAATAAATCCAAAAGCACTTCCCTTAGTTAAGATATTTACAATTTGAAAACATAACCTAAAATTTAAAAGAAATGCACTAGATTCTGTCATAAAAGTTGGCAGATTTTGTTTGAATTTACCTTCAGTACAAAAATGAAATAACCAACAATTAATAAAAACGCCAAATTGACAATTTGCATTGTTAATTTTGTCATTTTTGTAATTAAGCTAAATTTAAACAATGCTTGGCAACTTTTTTGAAAGATTTTGGAAACACTGTTGTTACCAACCATAACATAATAAATCCACCAGATTAACCTAAAGTTCCTAGTCGATCAGTGGCGTACTTTTTGGTAGGATAAAGGTTATTATAAATTATTTTTAGACTTTGGAATTTAGAAAAAAAAAGTTTCAGGTGCTTCTTTATGGACCCTAAGGAACAACCCATTTTAATATATAACATTAATTACATAACACCCTGTATATATATATAATAATAATAATAATAATATATAATATATATTAGGGTGGAGTGAATTTTTTTTTATTTATTAATTGATTTTTCCTATATTATTAATTGTTGACTAAAGGCGTAAAATGAATAAATATCGAAAAAATATTCCAATTTTTTAATATCTTGAGGTGGCGCATCAGTCTCGAAGTTTTGAAAATCCAAAAAAAAATTACTTCAATCAAAGTAATAAAAATAGCATTATTTATAAATAAAAAGTTTATTTTAGTAAAATTAACGTGAAACGTAAACATTTTTAATAGTAAATCATATGCTTTAAGTAACTTCAGGAATGTTTATTGGTAGAAATGAGATCTTCTTTTTCGCGAAAATACTGACATTTGGTATCAAAATTTGGTAATTATTTTCTGACTTCAATTCTTGTTCCGATCCACAAACCGAGACTGAAGATTCAGTATACTGGTTATAACCAGTTTTACACAGCGTTCCGCTGCTTGGGTGTGACACAGAAATTTTTGGAAGTATAGGAAATGGTCACCCGAAGAAATCATATCGGTAATTTCTGTCATCGTATTTCATAGTCATAGGTGGTTCAGTTACCTTTTCTGTCGCCCAGTGAATTAACTCGTAAAAATGTAATGCTTCAGTATTTAGTTGTGGAAGCTTTAATTTCCGTAATCTCGAACATTTTGATTCTTTTCTCGCCTTTAATATTTTCGGCAATGCTAGTTCTCTGATCGATAGATATATTGTAGGTAACATAGCAAGTAATAGGTTTTCGGGATAAATATTAGCTATAGCTAACAAAGATCCAGGAAAGCTAGCACATTCCCTATGGCTGACGTGGGCTAATAGGATTATTTGTTTATGTATGGGGACAGCAAATCCATCGGAAAACCTAAAAGAATTGGCTACTTTTATCGTGGTTTTACATCAACATCAAGCCTACGTGCAAACATGGTCCTATTCACATATTTAATATGACTAAAAGAGCATTACACCTCCAGAAAAACTTGAAGGCCTTATAACTATAGTTATAAAGAATATTCAGCAAAATATTTATCCCGAAAACCTATTACTTGCTATGTTACCTACAATATATCTATCTATCAGAGAACTAGCATTGCCGAAAATATTAAAGGCGAGAAAAGAATGAAAATGTTCGAGATTACGGGAATTAAAGCTTCCACAACTAAATACTAAAGCATTACGTTTGTACGAGTTAATTCACTGGGCGACATAAAAGGTGACTGAACCACCTATGACTATGAAATACGATGACAGAAATTACCGATATGATTTCTTCGGGTGACCATTTCCTATACTTCCAAAAATTTCCGTGTCACACCCAAGCAGTGGAACGCTGTGTAAAACTGGTTATAACCAGTATACTGAATCTTCAGTCTCGGTTTGTGGATCGGAAGCAAGAGATGGTTTCATCAGAACAAGAATTAAAGTCAGAAAATAATTACCAAATTTTGATACCAAATGTCAGTATTTTCGCGAAAAAGAAGATCTCATTTCTACCAATAAACACTCCTGAAGTTACTTAAAGCTTATGATTTACTATTAAATATGTTTACGTTTCACGTTAATTTTACTAAAATAAACTTTTTATTTATAATGCTATTTTTATTACTTTGATTGAAGTAATATTTTTTTAGAATTTTCAAAACTTCGAGACTGATGCGCCACCTCAAGATATTAAAAAATTGGAATATTTTTTCGATATTTATTCATGTTACGCCTTTAGTCAACAATTAATAATATAGGAAAAATCAATTAATAAATTTAAAAAAATTCACTCCACCCTACTGTATATATTGGCAAAACATTTGCTTTAAATTTTACAAGTAAGGTGTTCCTTTTGTTTATTCATACGGGCAATTGTTTTCAAGAGTTTGTGTTATTATTTTTATTATGTATTTTATATTAAGAGAGACATGTATTTTATGTTTTATTTTTATTGATAGGACCTGATTAAATGTTATGTTTAATCGTGTTGTTTTTATTTCATATCGCCTATTTTAGGCACTTTTCTTCCTAAAACGGCCTAAAATGTAGGTTTTTATTGCCTATTTATGTGTCCTAATTTCCAATTTTTAAGGGCCTAAAATCCGGTCTTTGATAATAAGCACAGTTCGATACGCACTGTACCCAGCAAACATGTACGTCTGATTATGTAATGGCCCATTACATAGTTTTATGGCTTAATATTGGCATTTTTAGCCAAAGCTTTCCTTGTACTGGGCCTTTACAGGAATATTTTAATAAAAATATTAATTTTGATTAAAGGGTCTTGCAATGGCAATTTTCAGTTTCAAGGTAATGGAAACCATTGCCAAGTGCCAAATGCTTTCTGTATATAAAACTTACATAAGCCTTTATTAATTTTTAATTTAATTATCCTTTGTTTAACGCCATATTTTAAAAATGACTCCCAGTGTAATAGAAAAACAATAATAATACCTAATGGTTGTGAAATTTAAGTAGGTGCATTTTTAATTTTACAAATTGATAAGGTCAAAATTAGGACAAATGCAAATAAAATAAATTAATAATGACAAAGAAAACCTGGTTTTCTAATAGAGGACAACTTATTTGTAAATATATACAGTGCTTGCAAATCCAAGTCCGACCGGTTTGAGAAGGACGCGTGAAAATAACAAGGATAGAACGCCAAACAGAAGGCGCTTACAATACGCACGCCTGACGCTCTGACCAATCAAATTCTGTTTGGCATTCTATCCTTATTCTTTTCACGCGGGTATTGAACAACCATCCTTCCCAACGCGGTCGGATTTGGATTTGCAAGCACTGTATATATATAAATATATTTTAATTTTAAATATTTTCTATTTAGTTTAAGGTTTTTTTTATATATTTAAATATTATGGATTGCATAATAAACAGTTTTTAAAATAATTTGATTATGTTTTACTTATACAGGTCTTGATTACAACAACTTGTAAATTTATGAATGTTTTAGTACTACATTTTACAATAATATATTAATTTATGTAATGGATAAGTAAAGTATACATTATGGTGAATTAAATGTGGTAAGTTTATATTTATTGGGTTGGATATTCCACGATTATCGTAAATTTTTATCCCGACCGTCAGAAATTGTATTGTGACGGTAGGGATAACAATTTCTGATTATCGTGGAATATCCTTATTTAATAAATATATACCTACCACAACTATAGAATCTTTAACATCCCATATCAGAAACTTTAGTTTACCACATTTGTACCTTTAATGTGCCATATCAAAAAATGTAATGGTTCTTGTACCTAAGTGCCTTTATTGACTGCCGTTACATGCCCATTAAAGGTGAACATAATATGTACAGTTCCATTAGAGTTAAGTTTATAGGGTCTTTAGTTCATTAAAGGCACGTTTATAAAGGGCAATTTTAGAACCTTTACGGTTGTGTTTGCTGGGTACTGTCCATGGCAATAGTAAGATACGCAAATATAATTTAAATTTTTCTTAACATTTTAACAAATAGAAAGAATAGTGAAAAGAATTCATATCACAAGACAATTTCTCGCACTCGTCCATTACAAAACGAGCGTGCGAAAAAATTACGTCTTGTGACATTAGTTCTTTAATATTAATTAAAATCAATTAGCAATTACAATTACTTGTTTTCAGTAATTTAAAAATCGAATTGAATTAAAGTAATTAAATTACAAAAAGTAGTTCAATTACGATTTTTCAATTATTTTAATTCAATTACCGACAGCTTTGCTCAAGAGTTATCAATAACAAAAACGGTGCGGAATTTCAAAAAATGATTTACGACTCAATGACACTAGTTTTTGGGTAACTTTAAAAGCACTAATTATTTTTTAACCTGAACTAAGATAAAACAAAATAAGTGCGAGAATTTCAAAATTAAAATCGGTTATCTTTAAAAAATGAGAAGGTATACCCCTGGACTTTTTTAAACCAAAATTAAGCGAAATGGCACTATTGCATGGGATACGGAGTTTTCAACTTGTACAGTGCTATCGAGACCCTATAAGGCGAGAAGGAATATTCTCTTACCTTCGCTGAAATCGTTGGGGGTCTGCGTGTTGACGGAGCGAGACCGGGCGGCCGCCCTGAACATGTCCGGGTGCGGGGCTCTGTGGCCCTCTGGCGTGCTCTGCGAGAACTTGCGGTAGTCGTCGAGCATGTCGCCGTCGGCGCCGAACTGCATGCCGACCGTGCACGTCTTCAACACGATCCGTTCGATCTCCTGGTTGAGGCCCTCGACCGAGTTGCGCATCGAGGATTTCGGCATCGGCTTGCACGGGATGTTCATCGGGATGGCTTTCATCGTCGGCGATAATATGCTGGCTGAAATTAAACAGAGGCAATGTTTTCTCCGCTCCACCATATATTTACTTTAAAAACTTATATGGGTGATTCTCCAGAACGGAGCAAATATGCTGAAACTCTTAAATAAAATATACTAATGAAAGTAGTAGCATTTAAATAACACTACAATAGACAGTTTATGTCTAGCAGTAGAACGTACTTAACCAAAAAAATAAAAAATTATTTATTTTATTAATTTGAATTTGCTTAAACGCTTTAAAGTCAACTCCATGGACTGTCACCACCTAGCGTAGGGACAACAAATCATCCATATACTATTAGACTAGATGCAATTGTGAAATGATTCTTTCATATTGCATTTCCTCTAACTTGGAATATATAAAAAAACACAACCAAAAGCAAACTTATTGATATTTTAACCCAAAATGTCGAATAAAGCATGAGACACCATTTTATAGCTGAGTTCTTTGCAGTCTTTTAATAAATGGTAAATCCCCTGTATAAAACGTATTTTAGTAATGTTTGAAGACTTCGTCGTTTGAGTGATTTAGTGTTGATTTGTGTAAGCAAGGCAAAGGGGGTGTAATATTTAATAAAAATTTATAAAGAACAATTATTTGCGAAAAAACGGATAAGTATTTTTATTAAAGATCAACTCCATGTCTTTAATAACAAAGGGATTTAAATACAATTGAAATTTAAACTTTCTCCAGGTGAATTAACCAAATATGCTTTGCTTAAATTTCAGTTAACTAAAGATACATTATGTACCATTTTCTAAAGTTTGTGACTTTAACTATAAAAACATCAACTCCATGGAGTTAAAAGGTATGTCCATGGAGTTGTTTACTTTCTTATTATTGCCCTAAACTCTTAGCTCATATAAGTTTTAACTTAAAAGGCATTATAAACGATAATTAATAATATATAGTTAAATTATAATAAATTAAATTAAATTTTTCTTTAAAAAAATTCTTTAATAGTATTATTATTATAACTATATGTATATATTAAGTTTAATTTATAGCCGCCTTGAAATTACTATATGTTATACACATTGAGGTATTATTTTGCTAGTGTTTTATTGATCTTTGCTTTTTATTTTTTTACCACCCCAATTTATCCCTGTTTTGGATATTCACCCATATTAACACAGACATATTCAAAAGTTTATGCTTATAAACTTTATAAAATGTTTAAAAGATCTTTTACTTTTAATATTTATAAATATTACAACTCTATCCCTACCCAGCAAACACATAAGTCTGATTACAATGTAGGTAAATTTTTAACTCTTGAAATATCACAGCTAAACGCAAAAACACGTAAACAAAATTTTTGGTCGTAGATTCCAAATCCGTGCTCGGTTTAGCTGTATCAGGTCTAAAAAAAATTTCATATTGGCAATCCAATTCACACACTGTATACTGCTGTATTATAATTTGTAAAATAATATATTTCACCTATTGTGCCAACATTCCTGCTTTTTATCTCATTAAATATAATATATCCTCAATTACACTCAATAAAAAAATCAGCAAAAAACATTTTGAACTGATGTAGGGGTTCAGCCCAATTGGATATTTTTTAAAATTTATGCAGGGTGTTTTTTAATGGGATGCTCCGAAACTTGAAAATTAAATACCTTTGAATTTTGACCTGATACAGCTAAACCAAGCACGGATTTGTAACCTACGACCAAAAATTAAGTTTACGTGTCCGAGCGTTTAGCTGTGATATTTTTACCTCCCTACAGTGTTATGTAATGGCCTATTACATAGTTTCATGGCTTAATAATGGCATTTTTAGCCAAAGCTTTCTTTGCACTAGACCTTTACAGGAATGTTTTAATAAAAAATTAAATTTTAATAAAATGCTGTCGTGATAAGGTCTTGTAATGGTTTGTTTCAGGCTAATATTTGTATATTTTACCATAAAAGACATTAGGGTTCCAAATGTTTTACATGAACCTTTAATTATCCTTTGGTTAACGCCATATTTTAAAATTCACGCCCAGTGTAATTCCTTTAGTTTTAATAGTGTGTTATACCACATAAAAAATAATAATAATACGGTATTAATACCTAATGGTTGTTAAATTTAAATGAGTAAGTAGGTGCATTTTTAATTTTGCAAATTTTAGAACTCTTATTAAAGGCAAAATACCGCCAAAGAATTTAGTAGAAAGGTTTAATTGATAAGGTCAAAATTGGGGCGATTGCGAAGAAAGGGGGCATCCATTAATTACGTGAGGTGTTTGGGAGGGAGGGGGTCGAGCCAAACCTCACCCAATCTCAAGTTGGGGGAAGGGTGGTCTCTGAAAATATCACGTAATTTTTTTTCCGAAAGAAACAGTGTAAAATTGCAAGAAAACTGGGATAAATTAAGTAAAAAACGTTTCTCCACTAAAATTTAATGGAAATTTCTCACCATGTATGCTACGTTTAACTAATAATAATAGAAATCTTAAATACTAGTATTAAATATAAAAAAATTAAAAGCAAATTGTTGTTTTTTAATAAATCTAATGAAATATTTCATTAGATATCAAGCACAGATTAACTTATTTACATTAAAACTATGCATTTTAAAAAATCTCACGTGAGATTAAGGGAGGGGTGAGGGGGTCGAGCAAAATCTCACGACATCTCACCAAAGGGAGGGAGGAGGTCGAAAAATCGCCAAAATTGCCTCACGTAATTAATGGATGCCCCCAAAAGAAATTAATAATGGCAAAGAAAACCTGGTTTTAGTAGAAGACAATCTACCAAAAATATTAAGTAAACTTATTTGTAAATATATATTTTAATTTTAAATATTTTCTATTTTATTTAAGGATTTTTTTTGTTTAGGGTGTGCGAATAATTCGAACTTACGAATTATTCGTTCCGAATCGAATATTAATATTCGATTCGGAACTCGAATCGAATAATTCGAAAATTCGAATTATTCGAAATTTCTCAAAAATTCGAATTTTTTTCGAATAATTCGAAGTCGTTTCGAAGTATTCTTAAACTATTATATTATTAGCGAATTTTCGAGTATTTTGAATTCAGGGTTTCTTATGTATGTTCAATATTCAAATATGAATTTAACAGTCAATATATATTTTATTCAAACCATGAAATATAGTTACACAAATAGAACAATAAGTAGTTTTTTTTAAAGAGAATGAAATAACCGAAATTATATCGTAGCAAATACAGTATTATAAAAAATACATTTGATTATTTTTTTTGACAGTTCTCTGTATTGTTGGGACATTGTTGAGGCATTGTTGTTGAGGGAACCTACAGCGAATTACAGCGATAATTTTTTGAAAATTTTCTCTGGTAGTTGCTATATATAAAAAAGTCAAATTAACCACACGTCAAACTGACAGGTTGAATTCAATTGTGAAAATTGGAGATTTTGCATGAAAATGAGTCGATTTGGAGTTTGTTCTCTGTCCACCATCGATAAAAAAGTCAAAGGAAATGTTCCCATTAATACGGAGAAGTCAAAAAAAACAGTTTGGAACCAATTTACTACTTTTTGTACTGAGAGGGAATACACATTGAGTGCTGAAACGAGTGAAGCGCAATTGGCAAACATTATGAAAGATTACGCTTACAATATGAAGAAAATGGATGGAGAAGACTATAAGGAAGGTACAATAAAAACAATGTGGAATCAGACAGAAAAGAAGAAAAGTATTTGAACGATTTCGACATCAAAATCAACCCATTTTCGGATGCTGCATTCAAGACCGCTCGAGGAGCTCGTGATGCCAAGCGTAAGGCTTTACAATCTATTCCGGAAAAACGGAGGGCAAGTGCAGCAGCGTTGGAGGAAAAAGATTGGGATGCAATGACCACTGTTTGGGACGAGGAAACTCCTGATGGCCTCCAGAAAAAATTATTCATGATAATATCAGTGGAATTGGCTTGGAAAGGTGGTGAGGGCAACATACAGATACAGAGAACTGTCAAAAAAAATAATCCCCCGAATACCACACGAGCTTCAAAATTATCTGGCATTTCCCTCAAGGTTCCCTGCAAACAAATAAAGTCGTCAAGTTTTTCAGGAAAAATCACTCGCGCTTCGCGCTCGTGATTTTTTAACCTGAAAAACTTGACTCCTTCATTTGTTTGCAACGAACCTATCGGGAATTACCCGATAATTTTGAAGCTCTTGTGGTATTATATATGAAAATTTGCTACAAATTTTAGTGCAAAAATAATAAATACGATACTGAAACATCACATGAGTAACCTTTTACTTATAGATTTTTTTTCATAGTGTAATTGATTTTTTAACGAAAAGTATATTATTCGTAAGTAGAATATTTCGATACACGATTTAAAGGAATTTAAATGGAAGCAATTAAAAATCCAGAGATATTTCATTATTTCGCGAATTATTTGAAAATTTTCGAGTTATTCGAAATTTTTCAAATTTTTCGAATAATTCGAAATTTTTCGGAATATTCGATTTTTCTCAAATTATTCGTAGAATTTCGAATAATTCGAAAATTCAGATAATTGTATACATTGTGTTATTGTCATATTCTACCACTAGATTGTGCAAATAATGTTACAAGGCTTGTTGGCAACAGTTATTAGATTGCGAAGACATAGCGCCTTTAATAATAAATTTCGGGAAATAATCACTCCAATTCTGACCTGGTTCGCTCTGACGACTGGTAATTTAGTATTTTTTTGTTATGGTCATATGTAATAAAAATGTAATAAACTCCGTTTGTTTCCTCTCTAAACACATTTAATCAGAATATGCCCGTAACAAACTCCTAATTAGTTAGTGTAGAAGATTATAACAATGATGTTATAATTCCATCTTAATAAACAGTCAACAATACACGATCGTTAGATTGTGCCTGGGCACGTATGAATGGACCTTAACGCTGACGTCATGCCGCTGATGACGTGCACCCATGCAGATTTGGCCGCGACTATAATCATTGCAACATTTTAAGATAATACAAATTACAAATTTTAATATTGCCAAGTTTAAAATGTGAAATAAACAAACTTAAGAAAATTTATATTAAACTTATTGGGATTGTGTTTATTATAAATATGGATTTTTTAAGTTTTACAAAGTTAATCATTTAAGATCCTGGGTTAAGAAGAAAAATAAGTTTTGCCACATAATGACTATTAATAAATATTTTTTAACATATATTATAAAACAAATTTTATTTTTTCATCTTAATGTAATTGAAATTTGTCATTTTAGGTTATTTTCCTATTTAACATTTTAAAATTTAATAGGAAATTGCCCAACTAAAAAATTACAGTTTATGGAATAAATAAATAAATACTTACAAGCCAATGTTTGTGAACTTGTATTAAGTGTATCTGGCGAACCATGCCTGGATAAAGGTTCCCTATTGCCTTTAATTTTTTGCCATGCCATAACCTTTTCAACCTTATCTCCTGACTCAGAAATACATTGTATTTTTCTACTTTCAATATAATCTGAATCTTCAGTCTAAAACAATTAAAATAATTATTGATAATAATACATTTTCTTATATTAAAACAAAAAAATATTTTACCTGTGTTGACTTATTAATTTGCAAGGTTCCAGTATGCCAGAAGAAGTGGTCTCTTGGCCAATGTCCTTTTAAATAAATTGTGTCTAAGGATGCTGTACGTCTTATTTTACCTTCACAGTGCCCATCTAGTTTAGATTTTTCTAAAAATATACATACAAAATTATTGATAAAAACTTACTGAAAATGTAAAAATGGGGTTAAATCTAAATCTAATGATTTATAATTAATTGATTAACCAAATTTTAAGGATATTTTATTTAAAAAAATATTTTTTGCTTAGTTTATTTTGTATGTCCAAGGAAGGAGTTACAAATTTCTTAAAAAATTATTTTTAAATTTTTTGCTTGATTTCAAATCCCCAAAATATGTTACACATCATTTTTATTCTTTATGGTTAATTTGTAATTTTGGTTTTTAATTTCAAACTTTAAAATCAAGCATTAACTTTAATCAAGAATGAAATTTTCTAACATACTGCAAATATGAAAATTAAAATGCTCCACATGTTATTTAATAAAGATTTTTATACACAAAAAAATGGATAGCGTTTATCGAAAATGAACCAAGGGCCAAAAACTTTTTCTGGGATAAACAAAATTATTTGCAAAATAACTAACTTTTAATGCCTTTTGAGCACTATTAAAAATGAGTTATCTTACAAATAATTTTACTAAGCCCAAAAAAAGTTTTTGGCACTTGGTTCATTTTTGATAAGTTATCCAAATACCTTATTTGACTGCATTCAAATATACACTCTTTGATATGAAGCACATACCTATAGGCTTTAGCTAAAGGTATTTCTGGTAAAATGGTACTAATTTTAATGCTAAATCATTTGCTTTTTACAATATAATTTAAGTTTTAAAATTTATTAATTTACTATGCATAGAACATAAGGTAGGTAGGTACTATGCTCCACTCCCAAGTCCCACTTTGACATTTGAATACAAATAATTGAGGTATCTGTTAGTTTAACCCCTAGATAAAAGAGGGTTTTACCATTGATTGAATGCATAGATAATAATAAATCATAATGATTGAATGGTTTAACAATAATTTTGTCTTATTTTTTGAAAATAATGCAATATACATATGTATTTTTTGTGTATAAAGGTCTTAATTTGGAACAGAAAAATTATATATATTGTTTTACTAACCTATTTTTAGAAAATATGACAAAATTAGCGTTAAACCGTTGAGTAAAAAGTATTAATCAATGGTTAAACTGACAGAAAGATAACCTCAATTATTTCTATTCGAATGTCAAAGTGTTTTCGGTGTGGAGCATAGGTAGTTCCTTAGGTAACTTACCTATAGGTAGATACGTTAATAAATTAAATAAATTATAATAAACTAAAATTGAACATTTTCAATAAAATTTAATATTGGCAAAATAAGAAAATAATTATTTTTCTAAATATTTTAATACAAAAAAACTTCTAAAACAACATAGTTAAAGACACTTTATAGTTTACGTTACACCCTATATTTTATAAATTACCTTTGTTGCAGGGAGATCCGGGACTCCTTTGTCCAAAAGCAGGATCAGGGGAATATCTGGCTTTCCAGTTGCAGGTCGGGGAAATGTTCGGACTGTTGTCGCTGATTAAGCCGCTGTTTTGCTTGAGAACCGAAGAAATGGGAATGGTGGCCTTCAGCGGGCCCTGCTTGCAGGAATTCGGCGAAGATTTTTGCATCCTACCCGGAGTAGATTGATTGCTCTGCCCGGACATTTTATAACAGCGATTTAACGCTGTTCTACATTAATACGAACCGCACCGATCGAACAGTTTTGTAGACAATCAAAAATACTTCACCACGGGGTTATTTCACTGTTAAAATCATTGTTTTAGGGATACATTTCTTGAACAAAGTATTCACTACTCGAGTTCATTGTTGGAGATTACACACAGTCCTACACAGTGTTGCCGTTTTGATTTCCACTAAATACGGCTTTTTTCTTTCAAATACCTATTTTGGCAATTTATTGACACATTGTACTTAAAGCATTAATTTTAATTATTCCCATTTTAAATAAAACAACAGAACATAAAAAATAAGGTAGGTAAGTAAATTACACCGTGCGACAATTTTTTCTCAAAAATCTACCATGGTCAGTTAAAAAAACACAAATGGAATTTAGAGCCCCGTAACATACTCTCCAAGGAATTTTTGCGAGTTTTGCTAGGAGTTATCTACATAAACAATAATAAATGTTTTTAAAAAATTTTACGGGTTACAAACGCACTAATTTGAATAAAAATAAACTTGTACTGTGTATTTTTTACAAGTAGGTACCTAACTCCCCGATCTGATATCTATTTAGTAGATCAGATTATTTAAACCGAAATTGGTAGATATACCGAAAAAGCAGTAGGCTTGGCAACGTTGTCTCTTTTTGTGGTGTTTCGTCCATTGCGCAGCATCGTAAAACACCATTCAAACAACGAAAACTACGTTGGGCAATGTTGCCGTCTTCGTCTGACACACGCGACAAACGTCAAATACAGCTGTTTCGTAGTATTTTTCGCGATGGATCGGCAATACTCACTTCACTATCAAGTACAGTACACGTTGCTGCGAGGCTTTCTGATTGGCGCATTGCATTTCTGAATACCGAGCCAACCCGCGAGGGGTGTACAGTGTACACTCCACGTTTTTGCTAAAAGTTCCTAGGGATTTTTTTTTAGATATGGAAATCAAAGAGTTTTTGATGAACGCTATAAGTAGTATATTACACTACAAGGGCAGAAAGTGTGAGATTCCTGCACTGCGCGCCATGATGTCCGAGGCGAAGACGACGGCATCATGGCGCGCAGTTCAGGGCTCTCACACTTTCTGCCCGTGTAGTGTATACTATTTTTCTTACTACCTCGGCCGAAAATACAACCCGGCCGAAAATACGGGAAAAAATTAAATGTGTATTTATGTACCTATCTCCATTTGAAAAGCTTGATAAATAAATAACAGTAGGCCGTGAATTCAGCGGTGCCAATACAGTAAAAATAAAAGGTTGTATTTTAATTAACAAATTACTACTTTATAACAAATAAAAGTACCATTAAACACTTAAAACAACATAAAAAGTAAAAAAGTAAAAACATAAATTGTTTATTTGTTGTTATAATTGCAAAATTATGGTTTAAAACTGTCATATTTTTGTGTTTCTCATGTTGGCAGTACGAAATTTGAATGTTAAGCACATGGAGCCTACACAAGGAGCCCGAACTTAATAGGGAAAATCAGAGATATATATATCTCTGGGGAAAATTGACAAAATCTGTCCACTAAATTGCACAATTTAAGTCTTTTTTTTTCACCACCAGCGGCGCTGCTTGTTGATGCGTCCGAATGACGTGAATATAGTATCGAAAATACATGACATGTGTCATGTGTCTATGTTGTGAAGTAAGCAAGTAAGTTTTGACAATTGATTTGCAATAATGTTTTGATGTACGAATCATTTTGTTTTTTATGGCTGTACGTTAGCAATAGGCAGAGAAGCGATACATAAGATGGAATCTACCTCACCTTTTAAATAAATGTTGTACCCCAACTCAAGCGAGATATATCTAAAATGTGCTTAAACTGTTGAGTGATCGCTAAAACTGTACAAAAAATGTGCTATAAAAGGTGTAATATAAGCGTCATAAATGAAAAATATTAAAGTGTGCCAACAGTGTGTATAAAATGTGACATACGTAAGATAGACTGAAGCTTTGCAAAATGTCTTTAAACAATGTACTAAAACTGTGCAAACAATGTGCCAAAATATAATGTAATATAATATAATGTGCTAAAATATAATGTAATATAAGCGTGACATATGACAAATAAATAAGAGTAAAAAACTTAATTATTTCAAAAAGTGTGAAATTACCACAAAGTAGCGTGTATGCACATTGTTATAAAGACTTGCACTCCAAATAAACACTTATTGCACACTTTTTATGCACGCTTTATTTTCGCCAGGGTAATTATTCCATCCATTTCTGGACCTGTTAACAACCTCCAATGGTGTCAGTGCTGCAAGCCGAGAGGTCATGGGTTTGATATATTTTAAATATTTTATAGTATTTGCAAAACTTTTGTTAAACTTAAATAAAAAAGTATGTAGAAAATGAGTAAACAGCATATTTAATAATTTCTACCTTTATTTGTTTATATTGAACTTTTATTTAAGCCATCTACCTATAAAACTAAAAATAAATACCATATGGATTTAATATTCTGTTCGTTTTACACAATTTTACATCACACGACATTCTATTATAGAAAAAAACACGTATTTATAAAAAAAACTGTACTATGCTCTACATCAGAAAGTCCAACATGAATTCCAATGTTAAATTTGATATTAATTTATTGTAAATTACGACCTTTATACACAAAACCAGGTACATGGGTACATTGTTTTCAGAAAGTGATAAACTGACAGTTGCATAACCTCAATTATTTGCACAATAATAAGTGGTAGGTAGTGGCGCCATCTCTGGTTACACCCCTCTACTGTTTTGGACCGGTAGTACACCAGCGCCCTCTTATCTAAGGAAGATTCTTGTTTACATGAAGTTCGGGCTCCTTGTGTAGGCTCCATGGTTAAGCACACGACCACGGTCTTATATACAGGTCTTGCAACTTTAAGCTTCGAGGTGGCTTCCTTAACGTGCCAAGCCGCTAGGTGGCGCTAAGATCGAAGGGGTAAAGTCAATTAAACTACTACTTAGTTAAATGTGGAACTACTGCATAACCATAACCTAACTTTTTAAATTCTTTTTCTATGTTTTGTTTACATTTTCAAAAATTTAATATTTGTGAGTTTGTTTCGGATAATTTACGTTAACAAAATAGGACAACAAAGTCTATACTCTATGCACAATACCTCGGCCGTCACATGCCCAGACCAAACATGTAAGTAAAACATGTTAATGTATAAAATACATACGTAGGTACATCATATATATGTTACGGCTAATGTGTTAACATGGATAGTTTATAAAGTAGCTGGGTAGTTTATAAACTATCCAAACTGTCAGCTATTTTAATTGAAAACGTATTTTTAACTAAATTAACGGCTAGTGTGTAAACCAACCAAGGGTCTTGGCTAATTTACTTGAAATTATTTAGGAATAGCTGGATAATTTGTGAACTATCCAATTCAATTTGGCTAATATGAAAACCAAAATTTCTAGTAACACAACATAGCCAAGCTTTAGATAGGTAGTTTACAAACTAACCAACCAATATTCTGGCTAATTTATTAATAACCGATTTTTTTATTGTCTTGTCGGGGATGGGTTGATTGTTTATTTAAAATAATATATATTTCACGAACACGATGTGCTTAATTATATAATAATCATACAAAATGTGAAGGTGTCAATAATATGTTTTTTATTGCACATTGCCATGTTTTTAACCGCTCCTTATTTGTTGGCACTTTAAACATGGACCGCTTAATTTTAATGCCGGAACGATAGCTTTGCTGGTTACATTTTGGCATAACACAGGACTTCATGTCTATTAAAAAGCACAAATACAAATGTATAACAAGAACAAATATAACAAGAAAAAATAGAACAATATAATTTAACAATAACGAATATCACAATAACAATAAGTAAAAACTCCCTGTAACAAAATACACAAGCTTGTTTATAAAAATGTAGGTTATGTTTCTTCACAGAACATACATAAGTTACTTATGGGATAAAAGGTCAAATGAACTACCTACTTATGATAAGTAGGTAGTTCATTTGACCTTTTATCCCATAGACTTTAAGGACTTAGAGCCGGTTTTACAATCGTTAGATTAAGTTAGCTTATTTGGCGGATAACTTTCATAGAAACCTTCTATCTAAGAAAATTATCCACCAGAGAGCTTATCTAACGATTGTAAAACCCAAAGATAAAGAAGGTAAAAACGACCTTTAAACATCTATGGTTTATCCATCCAACTCGATGCGCCATCTGGTGGGTGTCTCATTAGAGAGGTCACTTTTCCTATTGAAATTGGGCGAAGTTGCAAGACCTGTATATAAGACCGTGCACACGACTAAAAAAATTTTACTCCCGCTATTAGAGTGTGCGCGTATAGCTTGACCAATGCATAAAACGTAAACTTTCTGACGTGGAATCGGGGACGAAACAACGTATTTTGAGTCGATGTAGTAAGAAAAAGTACTTTTTCTACAAGCGAGCGAAAACTACAAATTTGCGCTTTCAAAAGAAAGCGCAGTTAACGCGTATACATAAAAATGTCAAAATAAACTATATATAGTTTCATAAGTCATTTAAAACACGAGTTTAAATATGCACAAGCGGGGCTTTCGGAACGAGTTCTTACTAAACAAGTAATCTTGAGAAGTTTATTAAACGAATTGCCAAACTTTATTCAATTGAACATTTTATCTGTCAAAAGGTTTTAACCTCACTTTTTACCAATCTAAGTGGCCACCTGTCACTTCTTGCTTAAAGGGTTTTAGATTTTTAAGGGGAGACCATTAAAACAGCATTATTTTTGACGAAACCTGATGTTTTTAATTTATATTTATTGTGCAATGAAACACCTTTATCCCTTTTATTTAGTGTTTACCTCGTATTTTATTTTTATAATTATTTTATATTTTTATAACCTAAAAAATGCAGCATCTGACAACCCTATAGGGTGCATATATGCACTAGTGGATTAAGTAACTTAATAGCGTAGGTATTTGAGTTACTCAAATTGAGTATAAAGGTTTTGTAATGACAACTTGACCTTTTTATAAAAAGTTTCTAAAACAAAATTTCATCTCAAACTATTAAATAAAGACAATTTTTAAATCCAAGATGTTTGTATCAGAAAGGCACATTTTGTTTTAGAATTTTTTTTTTATAAAAGTCAAGTTGTCATTAGTGCACACTAATTTCAGGACACCCTGTATTTACATACATTATAAATATTAAAGTATAGTAAAAATACATTATGTTTCTTATTTTTTATTGGCGTTAAATAACAAAAAAGATAAAGTATTCATAATCTAGAACCTTAGTTTGGAGAAGAACCACTTGTTTTTACCTTGCTTATATCTTTCTTCAAATTTAACTCTGGTTTGGAATCTGATCTTCTTGCGCTTCATTTTGTCTTTAAGATCCTTTGGCGCTACTTTCAGGTCACTGGTTAAATCTACTGAATAACGAGTGGGCATCAAGTGATTGTAGTTCAATACCTAAAAAAATTAAAGAAAATTGGTAACAAAATCAAGAAAATTGCTTTAAGAGCAACATTTATTGAATTTAGTCAAAAAACACTATACATTACTTATTTCTATAAATTGAATTGAGTTATTTCTTGATTAAAAACTTTTGGCAAAATTAAGGTAGTTGTCATGCTGTAAGCATACCATCAGAAAATTTTAAATTTTTGTATACTTATTAAGGACATGACAAAACAATTATCCTTTAAATTTGACCGTCTTTAACCAGAGATAAATTCAATTAAAAATTGGATAATTAACATGGATTGTATGCGCTTTCTGTAGTTTGGTACCAGTTTCTTAGTTATAAAAAAAACTAACTGTCAGAAGCTTTCAAAAAACTAACAGTCTTTTAATGTATTTTTGTTGAGTTTAAAAAAAAATAATTACAAATTTTTGACCGTCCAATTGTTTATAAATAACCGTTTAAAGTTCAACAATTTGTAAAAAAGTATACATCACTAGTGTCAGATAAAAACAACTTGGCTAAAGTTCAAAATAAATGTTTGTAAGAAGATATAAATCATTTTACAGAATATGAATATTATATTTTATAAAATAGTTAAAATATTCTTACAAAAATGCATTTAAAACTATAAAACTAATTTTTTGAAATATTTTGTCAAAATTTTAACTTTTGGACTTGTACCTACTGTTCTTAATCTCTCCGATTCAATTATTACAAGCATAATAAACATGTTTTCAATAGTAACTATTGCAATAGTATTTAATTTAATTAGGGTAGCTTTTTCTGATTATTAAGGACACTACAAAAATTGCTGAGTAATGTGGAATGGCTGAGTACTAACAATTTAATTAAAAGGCCAACCTAACAGCCCTTTGACAAGTTATTTAAGTGTCAAATACAAAAATTTTAAATTTACAAATACATATTTTTAATTGTACTCCATAAAACAAAACCATGAAAAAGTAAAAATATGAATATTGTACATACAAATATTATTTTTTAGATTTTATACATCCTTAATAACATTAGAACTTATAATACCTTATATTCAATAAAAATAAAAATCTACACTCCAAACTTAAATAACCAAAATAAAACAATATAGGTAAATCAAATGTATACATTGGCTAACTGTAACAACTTGTCTTGCATGAAAAATTGTTGTTCTTACCTTAACGAAAGGCTTGATCTTGGACCTCTTGTGCATTTTGCCTTTACCCATACGTTTGTGGATTTTCCTTGGGTATCTGTCAATTCCAGCTACAAGAGCGTGTCCGTATTGTTTGTCAGAAGTACCATCATCGTAGTTTTTAACCACGATGGCTTTTCTGCCTGCGTATCGGCCCCCGAGGACCAATACGACTTTCCCTTGTTTCATAATTTTACCCATTTTGTTCTAAAAAAAGAATGAAGGCGTTAATGGAGTGTATGAATACCATTTTATAAGTAGGCTTTTATTGCGTGTATCAAGGTAAAAAGATACATAACATGTCGCCATAACCTAAAAACTTGACATTGTCAATTTTCTTGACTTTTTTCAATAACAAACCAAAATTTGTAAAAATTGCTTTCGCAAATAGTTAAAACGAATACTGGTGGTTGATATTTCATAGATATGCAATTAAAAACCTACTTATTTATAACGATGTTTGAAGAATTAAAAAATACTCACGGGAATTACTTCACTTGCAAAACTAAAAGAGTGAAGAATTCGTCGCGAGGTGGCGCGGTATGTAAACAACCTTATGGTGGGAAATTTAAAACTGTTGATTTGAATTTCAATTATTTATTGAATAGGACATAATATTATTATTTATGAAAATAAAAATTAAACTATTATTCTTCTGGTATTTCCTGTGTTCCAGCATTAATTTCATCAATGAGATCATGAGGTAATTTTCCATCAATGGTGCATGCAACAGATTGAGCGGTTCCTAGGACTTCTTTTACCGTTCCAGAAAATTGCTTAGCCATAGAACGAGGCCTCATTTCCCTTGCGATATTCAAAATTTCATCCCAAAGTAAATTTCCACTATGTTTGACATTTTTCACCTTCTTCCTATCACGCGGTGGTTCTTTTAGAGCTTTAATTATTAGCGAAGCTGCCGAAGGTATCACGGTTATTGTGGCTTGGCGGTTTTGTATTTTTAGCTGAACCGTGATTTTAAGGCCTTTCCAATCCGCGGTTCCTTTCGCGATATCGTCCCCAACTTTTTTGGGTGATAAACCGAGGGGACCGATTTTAGGGGCGAGGGAGGATGTTGCCCCCACTTCTCCGCCAATGCATCGCAAGTTTACGTACTTTACTTCTGAAGGATCAAACTTTGGCGGCATTTTTATTCAGTGTTTTGTGTGAGAATAATCTGGAAACTTTGACAGTTAATAGAGATGTCAAATTTTCCTTGAAGATCAAAAGGGGTGTATTAAAATAAACATTCAAACGTGACAAAAAAACAATAATTGCATCATACCTACCTAATAGTAGAGGATCCCAAGTAAGGTCGACCTTCACCCATCTGCTTACCAGATGAAAATTATATTTTATCAAATAAAATATGTTTCTGAACATAAACCAATAGGGTTGCCATAAAAAATATGATCAAGGCTAGCTATAATAAATAAAAAATTAAAAAAAAATAATTAATTTTTTAAATTTCACCGACTTGCTTGCCAAATGAACGAAATTCCAATGGAAAGCATACAACATACAGAATATGTAACAGCTAGGTTGCCTACCTTTTTCTGGTCCCTATTACCTGGTTGCTTTGTACAGGGTGATCCCCTATAATGTCGCCCCCCTTTAACTTTTTTATTTTAAGTGTCCCAAAAAATTTAAAAGTGTGGTTATGTAGGTACTAAAAAATACTTTTTTTCTACGTATAAAGACAATTGGAAAATTGATCAGTATACAGGGAAAAACAAAAAGTTTATTTTTTTTCAATGGATCACCGTATATATGAATTTATTTTTCGATTCCTTGTAAAGTTCTGAGCATAATTTATATAACAAACCATATACCTAAATTCAACCGTTTCTGAAATATTCGCATTCGAAATGTCATCATTAAATGTTTTTTTAAACTGTTAGAAATCAAGAAGCCTCAGTATACCAAAATTTTTATTGAAAATAAATTACTATAGTGACATTATGTCAATAAGTGTTGTTAAATAAGTAAAAATGGCGTACTCAGACAGAGAAAAACAAACTATTTCAACTTATTATCTTAAAAATAATTTAAATATTTCAGAAACGGTTGAATTTAGGTATATGGTATGATATATGAAATATGCTTAGAATTTTACAAGGAATCGAAAAATAAATTCATATATAGGGTGATCCATTGAAAAAAATAAACTTTTTGTTTTCCCTGTATACTGATCAATTTTCCAATTTTCTTTATACGTAGAAAAAAAGTATTTTTTAGTTCCTACATAACCACACTTTTAAATTTTTTGGGACACTTAAAATAAAAAAGTTAAAGGGGGGCGACATTATAGGGGATCACCCTGTACAAAGCAACCAGGAATAGGGACCAGAAAAAGGTAGGCAACCTAGCTGTTACATATTCTGTATGTTGTATGCTTTCCATTGGAATTTCGTTCATTTGGCAAGCAAGTCGGTGAAATTTAAAAAATTAATTATTTTTTTTTAATTTTTTATTTATTATAGCTAGCCTTGATCATATTTTTTATGGCAACCCTATTGGTTTATGTTCAGAAACATATTTTATTTGATAAAATATAATTTTCATCTGGTAAGCAGATGGGTGAAGGTCGACCTTACTTGGGATCTTAGACTATAATGATCATAATCCTAGATCTGTGATTATAATATAAATACGCCACTGTCCTCGTTTTCCAGACCGGTCTAGAAAACAAAATTTTAAATGTCTGTATATATTATATTCTGCCCTTGTAAAGCCAAACCCCTCAGACAGCAATGTGACGTCTTAATGAAGTCTGCATAAGCTCTATTTTATGATTTGGACGTCAAATACAACTCCAGAAAGAAGTTTTTAAGAAGCCACCTATTGAACTAATCCAGATTTCTCAAAAAAGAACTCTTGATGAACCCTTTTCTTTGACTTCGCAATTAAGCATTTTAAAGAGTACTACTGGGGCATTCCACGTTACTCAGTAATTTTTGTCCCGCCCGTCACAATAAAAAAATGTGAGTAAAAACCACACGTTATAAAATTTATTTTAAAATATTGTTTGTAATAAGCTTATTAGCACAATAAAAATAATATTATAACATAATAATTTAATAACTTGTGGTTTTTACTCACAATTTTTAATTGTGACGGGCGGGACAAAAATTACTGAGTAACGTGGAATGACCCTACTGTATAAACTTATAAAAATACTTCTTTAGAATTTCCCGTTTTGGAGTACTATTAGGGTACTGATAAAAAAATTACATACTGGATCGTTGCTTATTTTGACATGTCAAGTTTAATTACCATAGAACAAACGAATTTGTTAAATTGATTTTATTAAAATCATTTTAATAATTTGCTCGTACCTATTCACCTATTTTTGGAATTGCGAAAACTTCGTCTCACTTTTGTTTAAATTCAAGCGTGATCTTCACCGGCACCGATAGACGGCCTGTTTCGCTCTTTTGGAGCTCGTCAGTATCGGGTAGCCGTTTACCTAGGTCTAAGACCGTTTGGTATGGGGCACGCTCTAAATTCTAGTTTGCCGCTTCTTATATCAAACACAAGCAGTTACAGTGGTGAGAAGAAAGTAATCGCATGAAAATTTGTTGAAGAGTTAATAATATGATTTCAATTGGAAGTAAGAAAAAAGAATACTCTGTAAGCTCAAAATAAATTGTTCAAAAAGAGGTCAAGAAAAGATCTTCATTTGTACGTAAAAAAACTGACTTCTTATTTATGAGTTTATTAACAGCTCAGAATTCTGAACTCATAAAAAGGAGATGTTTAAGACGTCATTAGAACTTCTACACGCGTAGTTGTTTAAAAGACTTCATACTGAAATCTTTCTGAATTGGATACTGACTGGGCCCCTTTGTACAATATTGAGTTATAAGGAACAAAAGATCATTTTCATTGTTAAAAACAATAAAAATTATCTTTTGTCCTTTAATACTACTATTATTTATTAATATTGCGGGGTTTGGCTTAGCACGGCAGTATTATGCCTGAACGTCTGAAGATCTAAAAAAAGACGTCTTAAATTCAAACTTTGATATCATATCATATAAGATGTATTTAGAACATTAAATAAAGATATCGATATCTTTAAGACGTCTATTAAAAGACGTCTTTCAGACGTCTTTTTAGATCTTCAGACGTCGGTAATATATGAACTGGAAAATGGAATATTCTTAGAACCTTCCCTTATTGCTAAGAATGTTCTTAGGGACTTTTAAAACATTCAATAGATACCCTATTAATGATGCAATTAGATTCCTATTAATGATGCAAGTCCTATTAATGATGCAATTAGCTTCTTAAAACCTTCCTAAAAAGCATCCTAAGAACATTTTAAGAATACGTTTTTGGAATGTTCTTAGAAGGTTTCTTATGGAGCTTCTAGGAAGCTTTTGAGAATATTTCAGATACCCACGTTCTAATATGTTGTATTCTACATTCGTAAAATTCTTCAGGAGAAATACGCCCCACTATCATAATATAACAGTGAAATGAATTTGTCGTCCCCTTAAATTTTGCGAAATATTAATGTAACGTTTTTAACTGTTCGTAGTGTGAATTAAAACACGCACTGGTTAATTAACGAACTAAACTATTTATTTAATAACCCAGACAGCAATATGACGTCTATTAAGTCTGAATAAGCTCTATTTTATGATTTGGACGTCAAATACAACATCAGAAAGAAGTTTTTAAGAAGTTCTTAAGACTTCGAATGCGCCACCTATTGAACTAATCAAGACTTCTCAAAAAAGAACTCTTGAGGAACCCTTTTCTTTGACTTCGCAATTAAGCATTTTAAAGAGTCCTACTGTATAAACTTATAAAAATACTTCTTTAGAATTTTCCGTTTTGGATATAGAAGTACTACTAGGGTACTGATGAAGAAATTGCATACTGGATCGTTGCTTATTTTGACATGTCAATTTTATTTTATTAATTTTATTAATTTGTTAAATTGATTTTATTAAAATCATTTTAATAATTTGCTCGTATTCGCTTATTTTAGGAATTGCGATTACTTCGTCTCACTTTTGTTTAAATTCAAACACCGATAGACGGCCTGTTTGACTCTTTTGGAGCTCGTCAGTATCGGGTAGCCGTTTACCTAGGTCTAAGACCGTTTGGTATGGAGCACGCTCTAAATCAGCGGTTCTTAACCTTTTTGGCTGGCGACCCACAATTCAAAAATATTAGAAGCTCGCGACCCGATAAAAAATAAAATCATCAATTTTCTACATTTTCTTTATTTAAATAAGTTAAAAAAAATTTTAGGAATCAACTAACACAAATCCCGAAAGTCCCGCGACCCATCTCGATATGGCCCGCGACCCAAATTTGGGTCGCGACCCGAGGTTAAGAAACGATGCTCTAAATTCTACTTCGCCGCTTATACTGCTTGTGTTTGATATATATATATAAGAAAAGATCTTCATTTGTAAGTAAAAAAATTGACTTCTTATTTATGAGTTCATTAATGAGCTCAGAATTCTGAACTGTTAATTAACAGTTCAGAATTCTGAGCTCATAAAAAGGAGCTGTTTAAGACGTCATGTTAGAACTTCTACACGAAGTTGTTTAAAAGACTTCATACTGAAATCTTTCTGAATTGGATGCTGACTGGGAACTTAACTACACTTAAAACACTATAAAACTAACTAAACACTTAACTACTAATTATTTATATATCACTACTGTTCAAGAGTCTATTTATTTGCACTTATATTTATTTATTTCGACGCGAGTACTAAAACTTGACTGACTGCTTCATGCAGCGCCGTTCCTTATATATTCAGTGCCTACGTTCCCGAATATTCCAGCGAGCTCCACACAGCTCTAGATCGCTCGAGCGCTGAGTCACCGGCGATGAGTCATCATTCCGATATCCAGAGCCGTACTCGCTACATATGTGCAATATTGCCTCCGTCTTAAAACATTTTCGTCCCGAAAATGGTCCTCAGCTCCATGGCGATATTTGCATAGAGATCCAAACTTGCATTGTGACGTCTTATAGAAGTAGCAGTCTACGGTCTTCCTTACGGTTGTTCTTTTAGGGTTGTGGCAACAGACAAGAATGTGTATGCCACTAAATCTGAAGATAACTTCCACCATACTTCTAATTATTCTCCAGTCTAAACCGTCAAGTCCACAAGCAATCTTTGGTATCGCCAGGTTCATGATGTCCTTGGACAAAAGGGTATCCCTCAATTTATTTAAGGCATTCCATACGTCACGGAAGTTTGGCTTCTGATGGGAGAGCTGCTTCGTTACCAGATAGAAGATACTTCTCTTGCCTATCTG